TGACAGTGGGGATCCCTTTAACAGAAGAAACTTCTGACAGACCCCAGCTCTTGGTGGGTGGCCTTCTGCCTCGACCGGTTGGGGTGAGTGGATAGAGGAGAGACAAAAGAAGAAAAGTAACAAGACACAACAAACAATCAAGCACTGGTCAGGTTGATGAGGCCAGTGACTGCTCATCAGAGACGTAGAGCTCCAGGGCCAGGGGAACCTGCAGAAAGGTACAGGGAGAGAGGACACACTATGGGAGAGAGGAGACACAAAGTTAGTGATGTGTAGTGGTGGCATATAGAAGCATCTGCTTGTAATAATATAATAGTTTTTGGAATATCTACAATCTGGATTCCAAGAGTTAGATCCCTCCATTGCCAGCTGTATGCTTTTTCACACTCATGTGGTTACTTTCAGCCCCACAGACAGCTCCCAATTTATTCCAAGTGTAATTTGGCACCATGAATGAGACTGTATTTAATACCAAAGTCAACTTTCAGCAACAGAGACAGAGTGTATATGATTTAAATGTAGCAATGTTTAAATGTGTTTCTATGTTGTTTTTTTAAATCTAATTTCTAAGGCTCAATACAACTAATGGCAGCTGAATACATTTACTCCAACTAAACATATATTATAACTTATTGCATTATTTCATTGTTGTGATGAGGAAACCAGAATCACAAATCCATGAGTATGTATGTGTACAGCCTGAAGTAAGACACAGGTGTCCCCACACAGCGTCTCTCAATCTCATCATGGCAGTGACACATATGAGAAAACAATCTCACCAAGGCCATTTAGTTGTTAAAAAATCAGTACAGTGTTTATTGTTTATTGTTAAGGCAATTCCCTTGTCATTCAACTCACATCAAATTTGCTTGTGTTAGGTAATCCAGTATTATTTCAGGACAACAGACATCTCCGAGGTGTATTTCAGTGCCAGAGATAACAGTGAACTGTGACAGAACTGTAGGCAGTGCCCTGTTCACTGCTGTAACAATAAACTGTGAGACCAGCTTTTCTCTTGGATCAAATATACTATAACATGTATTGTATATAGACATAGTCACAACCTGAGTCACAGCCATAAGGTTTACACATGAGTGAATTATATTTATGCATGATTAAGTCTTTACATTGTAACACAACACAACAAAAAGCAGCATATTAATTGCACATTTTATTATAACAAAAACTACACATACATAAATATTTCATCTAATATATCATCATCGTCCTTCCTAGAGACATGGCCCAGTCTCATCTGTATTTCTCGGCGAGCACAGCTGCAACAGCTGACAGGTACTTGTCCATTGCTGCATGTGCAACCGGTGTGAACTCGTCCCCCAGGTAGCAGGCCAGGGTGACGAGCATACAGTGTGAGAGAAGCTGCAGGGGAGGAAAAGATGTTACTGTCCAGGAGCTGATGAAGAGTAAACAAATGGAGTATGTGTCACCAGGCATGTCTCAGTTTCAGGAAAATCATTTTAAAAATTAGCTAACCAACTTTATTCAGTTAACTCTATTAGAATTAACAAAAGGCTTTGCCTGCTCAAAATAAACTAGTTTGTACAGTGTGTCACCTGATTAAGTAGGAAAGCCAGATGTTCGTTCATCTTCCATAAACAGTATTTTCTGCAGTACATTACA